CTTATTTTTCGTTGGTTGTTTAGCTTAATTGTCCTTTTCCTTTGTCTCTTCTATGTTAATGATATATAAAAGTGTTTTTTCTTTTAAATGGATTATTGGATTTGCTGATCTGATTCTTAAATGTAGGGTTCTGAGAAACGAACAAAGAAGATGGCTCCGTTGACAGCATCTGCTGTATTAAACCTTGCTGAGTTTGTTTCTTTGGAAGAAGATGTGAAGGATTTTGACATCAATGTTCCTCTTTCTATCCTCCATAGCGGTTTCAAGTGCAGCCCCTCTCTTTGTGTAAGCCCCGCTCTTTATGTACTTGGTTTAGAATTATGTAACTGCATTTGGTACTCCTGGTATGTTTGTGAACCATGCTCACAAGTTTTATTGCTTCATACAGATTTCTCTTAGCTTGATGGAGTTGAAATCTGCACGAGAACTGTCAGTTGAAGGGCAGAGACCAATAATGTTTGCTCCATTATCGCCTTGTTTTGGTGCTTCTCATCTGATCAAGAAGGATGAAGCTTCTTCTTTTAAATCAAATCTAAGAAAAGTTAAAAGCTTGACAGATTTTGTTTCATCTAGAAAATTGAAGAAGGCAGACAATGGAGAAGGCAGTTGTGACAGTAAGTTCTCTACTGGAAGTGAGGATTCAGACCCTTTTGATACAGACTCATTTGGCGATACCGATGAGGGTGAATCAGAAGAAAGTAAAGAGGATGTGGATGTTCAAAAATCCTGCAGTTATGGCACTTTAGTCCATGCCAACTTCGCTGGAGGAGCACTTGACCTAGGAATCAATTGTGAGGGCAATGATTTGGTTTATTACGGTAGACATAAACCACATGTAGACAGCTCTGTTGCTCAAGATTATGACACATCAATTTCAAAGCAATTGCAGAGGCCGAGTTCAAAATTTGGTATTTCGTGGACGAAAGGAAAGCTGAGCTTTAAATCTCGTAAGGTCAAAGGAGAGCCATTACTGAAGAAGGACTATGGTGAAGAAGGCGGAGATGATATTGATTTTTATCGACGACAGCTTTCTTCGGATGAATCCTTAGCGGTATGCATCCATCGAAAATCACTCTTTTTTTTTTTTTTTTTTTCCCTTTTTCTAGCTTAGTTGCATATAAAATTGTGATGTTTGGGTATATAAGTCTGTCATTAAGTTTTCAAAATTGTGCTAAGTGCATGTGTATGTGATTTGAGTATTGTTGTGGCTTCAATTCATCTAAATTTGCAATTTTTTGTGAGTCTTAACTGATTTGGGGAATCAAGAGATTGGAGGGCATGACTAATGCATAGGGTTGATGCATAAATAATTAATAATGGTTGTGAATCCTTGATTAATTGCAGCAATTTGAAGGTTTGATGGGAAGTAGATCATTCATTTCTGAATTTGGGGATGACAACTTTGCTGTCGGTAATTGGGAGCAAAAGGAGGTACTGAGCCGTGACGGGAGCATGAAGCTTCAAACTCAAGTCTTTTTTGCTTCAATTGATCAAAGAAGTGAAAGGGCAGCTGGTGAGAGTGCTTGCACTGCTTTGGTTGCTGTCATTGCTGATTGGCTTCACTCCAACCAAAGGGAAATGCCTGTAAAATCTGAATTTGACAGCCTCATTCGAGAAGGTTCACTCCAGTGGAGGAATCTCTGTGAGAACGAGGACTACCGGGAGAAATTTCCTGACAAGCACTTTGATCTTGAGACTGTCATTCAGGCTAAAATCCGCCCCCTCTCTGTCGTCCCAGAGAGATCTTTCATTGGTTTTTTTCATCCTGATGGGCTAGAAGAGGAGTGTTTTGGCTTCCTTCAGGGTGCCATGTCATTTGACAATATATGGGATGAGATTTGCCGGGTTGCATCAGAGCTAAACTGCAATAGTGAACCTTTGGTGTATGTTGTGAGCTGGAATGACCATTTTTTTCATCCTTAGGGTTGATTGGGATGCCTTTTACATCATCGACACATTGGGAGAAAGGCTTTATGAGGGCTGTAGTCAAGCTTTTGTTCTCAAATTCAACCATGACACAACCATCGAAACATTACCTTGTCAAACTTCATCATCAGAGGATGCAAAGCCCACTGAAACAAAGTCTGCGATAGTGGAGGCTTCTTCATCAACGGATCAACAGCAAGTTTCGTCTGGCCTGGAATCAGAAAGTGTACAAGAGTCAGAAGGGATGAAGGTGGAAGAGAAGGTGCATTGCAGAGGTAAAGATTCCTGCAAGGAGTACATAAAGAGTTTCTTGGCTGCCATTCCAATAAGGGAGTTGCAGATTGATATGAAGAAGGGATTGAAGTCCTCAGCCCCAATTCACCAACGACTACAGATAGAGTTTAACTTTACTAAGCAGCAGTTTTTCCCAGCACCTGCTGAGTATATAGCTTCGGAGATGGCAGGTGTTATTCCAATATTGACAGCGGCTGATGTACATGCATTAATGGCAGTTGATCAAGTAACAGCACCAATAATGGTGGCCGATTTACCGGCTCCAATAGCAGTTGATGTACCAGCATCAATGATGACAGTCGCTGTTGCTTAGGAAAAAAATTGAGAAGGGATTATACATATTGTCCATTCTAACTCATAATTTTTTGGAGGGTTTTTATTTTCTCCATGTTTTCTTTTTTTTAAACAGACGACCGTTTAAGGTCTTACAGGAGGCATTATGTGTAATTAATCTTACTAAGCCCTTGTGAGTGCGCTCGCCCTCAAAAGTGCAGGGTGATCTTTTGCACTTGGTATAGAGATGAACTGTTATGCCATATTATAACATGATAATAAAAGTGTTTTTATTTTAATTTTGTTTCAACTTTTCTTTTTTGGTCTACTATTAATGGCCACTTTATAGTACAGTTATTTGTTTCAGAGAAATTCTTCAAATGCTAGAGCTTAGTTAAAAAGTTAGAAGTAGAGGCTTTTGTCTTTCTGATCTTTCATTTTGGTGAATTTGAAATTTTGAAGTAACGCAATTCCATTGCGTATATAGTTATATGAAGTACTAATTTGACATATATGAAAAGGAAAATTTTTTCCTCAAAAAAAAAGAAAAATTTTACCCAAAATCAAATATTTCGTAATAGTAAAAGTTATCTACTTGCGAAGTTGACTTATATGTTACTTGAATTAATTAAACATACAGTATAAAAGACATTTATTATATACGATGATAATACTTACCTCTATTTTTTTTATTAGTTAACACTGACTTTCGCACCATTCACAAACTACAATTTGACTAGTTTTTGTGATTTATTGCCACGATAAAACATAATAAAGTGGGATCTTGTTTGTATTGTCTCAATATAAATTTTTAATGGTAAATATTATATATTGACAAGCGTGATAAGTGATAAAAAAAATATGTTAAAAAACTAAAAAAAACCGAAATATGTACATGTATTTAAGGAATGCAATGGTGTGACAACTTAAACTACTTCCTGATTGTATGGTCACATTCACATGTACAAAATACTAATTCTGATATTCTAAATGATTGTCATCATTATGATTTCTAAAATAACAATTTGCAATGTTAACCAAAAAAAAAAAAAAACAAAAACACTCTAATTCTTAAATAAGGGTTGAACTAATGTGACAGCTATGTTTTTACAACGCACGGACGATTACTATAAATAGAGTTAAAGTGAATTTTATATTCTATTGAATGAATGTTTCTTGCACACAAGATGGTACAGGCATGGAACAAGCACACCCAAATTTGGTGGGAGAAGATGTGTTTAACGGTTCATGTTAATGTTGATGACCTTTAGTTGATAATGATTTTGCAAATTATGACTTTGACTTTGAAGATGCACCAACCTAAATGGGATGTCATAATAAAGCCTAAAAGTATGTGGGTTGTCTGCCACTTGATAAATTATGTGGTGTATTATGTATGTGTCTGCCACTTTGCTGTGTTCGCTTCTACGCACAACCCATATCTTGCATGAAAAATTCTGCTTATTTTTGGTATCGTGCGCATTGAGTATATGAGACATTTCGCCCTCGCGTAAATTTGTGTGGAGGTAGGAATTTCTTGACCTTAAGGCTATGTTCAATTCAGCTTATTAAAGCAATTGTTTATTTCGAAAGCAATCAAATGAGGTCATTTTACTTTATTTGTGTTTGTTTATCTATATATAAATATGTATACAATTTTGTAATGAAAACAATTTTAAAAGTTTCATATTTGGAAAATACAAATTCTTACGAATTTAATGACACATCATTTGATGTACAGAGTATTTTTTTTACTAATAATTAGTGTATAAATATAATCAAAATTTTATTAGATTAAAAAAATCAGATTAGACACATCAAATTAAATTAGATCAAATAAACTGAACACAGTTAAAATACACACAAGTATCCTTAGATATATGCCCAAAAGTTTTTACGAAGTATAAAATCAGACTCAAAGGTGATTTGTGACTTGTAATTAATTTGCTTGTGATTGTTAGTCTGTTAATATGAATACAAGAACTAAATCAAAAGACAATTTAATCTTGCATATATGAACAAAATATCAAAAAATAGGAGCTAATCCACACGACTTGTTCACTACATTTACCTAGAGATAGTAGAATTTTTAAATATTCATACTTGAATAATATGCATACTTCGTATTTGTTTTATAAGCAATTTATTTTATAGCTGCTAATGGGATTCGAACCGTTGCTCTAAAGGAAGTGATACAATCATTAGCGTACAGTCCATGACAACACTGGAAATTCTAAAAAAATCAAGTAGGTAGAGAAAAAAAAGAGTTAAAATATTATGAAATTGTGTGAAGCTTGATAATTTAAAACTTGTACTCCGTAATATTTAACTTGAGTGTTTTTTTTTTTTTTGAGCATTATTTTGGAAAATCGCTCAGAATTATAGAGATGGAAATAGTAACACCAACACAAGTGACAGTGCACAATTGCACATTCATCAAATGCCACAGGAAATAGGGTATATGTGATGAGTGCTAAGTAGAATATCACCACCATGTCTTAAAGCAAACTAATAGCTAGAGTAGACATTAATTAATATAAGAAAAAAGAAAATTAATAATGATGAAAATATGTGGTGGTTATTAAGATTAAGAAGACAAATTTCTACAACAATAAATTATTCTAACAATTATGTCAACATGAATAAACAATAATCATGATTACCAAAGCGTAAAATACTTGGCTAAGATCATGGCTCAATCTGACGATCATATACCCAGTTGAAAAATGCTAGCAGTAGTTTATTTAGTCTCTTAAACTATAATTCCCAACGTACGTTGTATTTTCAATACGCACAGAATGTTGACTTTAGGAATTGATGTGAAAAGAATACAAGGCATGTAAGTCAATCTATCCATCTTTGATTAGCTGAGAAAGAAGGTTGATAACTCCCGACATCGGGGCATCATTCTGCAACAAAAATACAGATGTTTAATTCCATATTTAAGTTCTAAAGGAACAGAAAATCGCTTTGATACAAAACCATCCACCCTAAGAAGCAATATGAGTGTTGAGATACTGCATTTCGTAAACATCTGTTGACAAAACTCCTCTCAGACTGTACATTATCTTTTACGAAGTATTTCTTTGCGAATTATAGATATACAACTTGACTATCCCCCCCCCCCCCTCCCCCCAACAAAAAAAAAACACCATCCTGTCAAAATAAAAATCTGAACACATTCTGTATTCTTTGATAAATGGAAAGTTCAATCTTTAGTATAAGGAATATCAATATCATTGGCAGGCTAAACATTGTTTGAATATCAATGCAATCCACACCAAAACGCAGTCACTCAAAGATCCTAGGTCTGAAGTCAGACTGTAAGAAAAAAATAGGATCACTATGCAGCACCTATGATTAGGTCGGTCATACTAATGAGGTTTTGGCCTAATGACAAACATTGAGAGATTGTATACGATAGGTCTGTATGTCACAGGTTCAACCGTTCAAATCCCCTCTCCCATTTGTAATTATAATGCCCTTGTGACTCCCTTGGACCCAAAGAGAGAGAGAGAGAAAAAGAGAAGTCATTCTGTAGGTCTTTTCCACAGAATCAAGCGCATTGGATAAAGTAGACATCAACAGCTTAACAACTATGATACCACATACTTCAATCACATACCCTACTTCTAATAATGCTCTCATAGCCCCTGATTTACTGGCCCAAAGTAAAATATCAAACGGAGGAATAAAGCAGAGAAGGACAGAGCGGCTACAACAACCTTTGACCAAAACAAAATTACTAAAGTATCAGTAGTCAAACAAAATTAAACAAGAGGCACACAATTCAGGCCACTCACCAAAAACACAACATCAAAGGCTTTTTTGTAACTCTCAAGAGATTCATTGACCTTGTCATTCCTGCATAATTCATATGGACCCTGGTCAGTCACCAATTCTACTTACAAGATAGTACAAGGCTACTACTATACAAAAAAATTTAACATATTAAATAAACGGTACATCTTTATACTATCTCCAGCAATAATTAATAGGCCAACTTCCTATTAATTCGTCCAACAATAATATTTCAATTTCAAAATTCAGTAAATTAAAATTTGAACCATTCCTTGTCCCTTTAATTACATCATTAACTAATAATTCTTAAACTAAAGCAGGGCAACATCAATTTGGCAGACATGATAAAGAACGGTTTCTACGATATTTTAATTCAATTTCTTAAACTAATGTGGGTCAATTACTTTGGGTGGAAGGAATACTACAGATTAATTTTGTCATTGGTGGCAAGAGAGGCTGCAAAACATAGGATAAAGCTCCAAACAGAATCTGATGTATTAAATTATGTGGCTTGTATTCTTCACATCAATTTTATAAGTCAACCATCTATGCATAATGAAAACACAACCTACCTTGGTTATTGTTTTAGAGACTAGGCTACTGGTAGGATTTTGAAGTGGGTGATGATCATCAGATTGAGCAATGATTTTATCCTAAGTGTCGTGTGCTTCAGTAATCAAGATCTGTGTTCAATAATATTGACATTATAGTAAGAATTATTGTAGAAATCTGTTTACTTAATAACCACCTCATCTTTTCATTAGTTCATTGTTTTTATTCACTAATTATATTAAGGGAAGACACACTTGTAAAAACAGTTTTCATTTGTTTTTTCCTTACAAGAAAAAATATAGAGGAAGGAAAACATGTGAGTAGAAGAGAGAAGATGGATGGGGGGATAGAAAAGGGATGTTAGGACTCAGGAGTTAGAAGGAATATGTGGATTCATTCCTTTCAAAACAAATGAATAATTGTTTTCCACACTTTACAAACCAAACAATAAAAAATGGGAAACATGAGAACTAAGTTGAATATTGTGGAAAGTTATTAGTTTTAAGAGTTTTGGGAGGGTGCCATTGCTCTTGAAAGATAGGTGAGGCTTTAGTTGGTGATTTCAGTAGCATCAATATACAATCATATGCTAAGATAATTTCTTATCTGAATCTCTTTTCTGTCCTCAATCCCTCTGTTTTGGTCACTATGCTAAGTTAAATTCTCAGCATTTTGTTAATAGAAAAAAAAACTTGTCCACAATTTATTTTATGCCAGCAGTATGCTTTCACATGATTTAATATATCTCCATTTCAAATACAGAAAAATTCCAGGCAACAGTACAGGAGCTAAGAAGCAAAGCAATTTGATTGTTCATGAAATTCCCATAGCCACAATTAGTGAACAACAACCAAAATAAAAATTATTTAAAAAAAAAAAAAAAAAAAAAAGGTACTACAGTTAAACCTGACTTGGAAACCCAATCACTTTATGTTATGACAGACGCAAGAAAGATCAACAAGAACACAGATTTTACATGGTTCACTAACGATGAGTCAGGTTGTCCACAAACAACGGACAAGAGGAGAGTTTTAATGATCTTGAGGATATTACAGATAACAAAATTGTTGCCATCAATTTATATTATATGGCTTAACCATAATTTCTTTATAAGTCATTCTACATCTCATTTAATAATGTTCCTTCCATATTCAGTCTTGTTGCCATCAATTGCAGATACCAACAATGATGTAGCCAGTGAATAATTGAATCATAACTAGTGTAAAATAAGGAAAATATGATGAGGTTCTTTCCAACAGTTGTCAGCATCCCATAAATTCAGATTCGAGGATATACTAATCTAAAACCCAAAATAACTCCAATTTCAAAACCAGAACAAGAAACACAGCTAATAGGGTAGTAAGAGTTGAGGCCAGACTGTAAGTTTTTGTTAGACCATGTCAAGCAACTGCTTCCAAGACATTAATTGTTCCAGCATACCTTTAATTTTATCATGTTGTCCCTGTCAAAGTAAGTCTATGGTTTCAATAACCCAAATTCTACATTTAATATCATCAGCACTGGCTTCATCCTCAACACAGAGGTTATTTTCAATTTAAAATCTTTCAACAGTTACCAGTACACGGCAATAAACATTGTAATCGCTGATTCCAGATGAGCAAATAGTTAATAAACCATTAGAAATCATCACCAAAGAAAACAATAGAGATAAACTATGTTATAGAGCTAACAACTACGTATTACTGAATTAGTTATTCAGCTTAGTAAGAACTTTAGTAAACTTCAATAAAAGGATCACAGAAGTCCACCAGTTAAAGTTGCTAAGAGCAATTTTCACAATCCAGTAAGTTATAAAGCTTAAGCGAGAGGATCTCAAATCTGGGGAGGTAGTCAGGTCTGCGTATTCCAAGGACTCTTTTTTATCAGCTCATATATCGTAGTACCTATCAATACAAACTCCCGATCAAAGCCCCTTTACACCCATTATTTAGCCAATATTCCTCCAAAAGACCCTAAATCATCCAACCATGGTGGAATTACATACAAAAGATGCAAATTTACGATAAAATTCATAAACGAATGCAATTATTTAACCAATTCGATTCTCTCTCCACCTCTTCTTCATCATCTTCATTTATTTTCTCTCTCCTCAGATTGAGAATTTCAATCAAATAAGTATGTAATTGTGAGAATTATGAAATCAAGTGTTAATCCTGTTTTTTCATGCAATTATTCCCCACAATTGTTCAATATATTTTTAAAATGTGCTATTTTGGGATGTGAGAAACATATTTTGGGAAGAATATTATTGGGAATTTTGATTGAAGATGTGAAGTATATAATTATATTGAACTTTATTGTTATTTTATTTGAGTTGTGGATCTGAATTGTTGTTATTGTTATTGTGTTAGGGTGATGCTAAAGCTACCATTTTTCTATAAATGGTGCAAGGAGATGAAAAAGATGAGTTAGGAAATTTTGCTCATTCTATGCAAATGAGCAAACAAAGTTGCTCAGTTTGTACATCGCGCAAATGAGGAAATATGACGATTATGCATGATATATTTGCTTTAAGAAATGAGATAGAATAGAGAAAAAATTAAAATTTGCTCATTTTGGATTATAAGCAAATATGACAACTGATTATACATGACAAATTTGCTTTAAGAAATGAGAGGAGAGAAAAATTAAAATTTAAGATTTGCCTTTTCTCTCTCACCCCAATTTTCTCTCTTCCAACACCGAGCTTTTGATCTTCGAGAATGAGTTAAATATGTAGGAATTAACATTTTTTTCCTCTCTTCCATGACTGCTACAAGATGTTGGAGATTGGAACGCATTTCTATGACCAATCGTGGTTTGAGGCCCAAATTGATGAATCACAGGCCATTTTGAAGCCCGAGCAAGGAAAACCGAGCCAGATGATTAAGGGCTTAATATTTGCTTGAGCCCTTGAGGCATCATTGGTGTGCAAAGGGCTACATCGCAAAGCCATGGAGAAATAGCCACTATCCTTGACAGCTATAGCTAACCTGTGTTAGGAAGGGGAGATTATTCCCTAAACTCACTTAAAAGAAATCAATTGCATGCTTTGATGGAGTCCATAATCCAACTAACAATCTTGTGTGTAACTGCAGGGACCTGATATCCATTATTACTTCATGAATGGCTGAATTTGCCCCAAGGAGATTAAACATGGAAGCTAATCCCATGGCTAAAAAGGGAAGGAAGGATGATACGATTGATACCTTAAGTTTCATAAAAACACTTCTTTATTACTCAACTGGGATTTATATCCTCAGGTTCTATAAGAGCACATTTGTATTACTCAACTAGGGAATATCAGTGTTATCTGTTACAGGAATTGAATTCTACAGTAACAAAACAAATCCCCCCCTCCCCCCTTCTCACCCCTTCTATCTTGTTCCTGCTTTGCATATTCAGAAAAAAATAATAAAAAAATATAAAAACGAAAAAAAGAGTTGCAATGATAGAATGACAAATCATAGCTATACAATGCAAGATAGCCAAAGATGATCATGAACTCATGGCAGAAGATGACAGAAATATTAACAAAGAAAAACCAATACCATTGCTTTAATAGAAGATAGCATTGAAAGGATGGAACTTACAAAAAACCCACTGATATTCGTGTTTCATAATCAAGACCATCTGACATTCCCAAGTCTCCAATGTGGTCTCCAAGAAGTAGAACGTTGGTTCTCTGTTTCATGGCAACATAATCAATATCAGGCCCATCCACAGCTCCCACTTTATCATGTAAAGGTTCCGCCATATCAAGGGCATGTTCATTCTTAATCAAGACATGAATAGTTTTTCCTGGAAACAACAAGACAGAAGAATAAATATAGTGATGGATCAATACTCTTTGAGGAAAGTTCAGCAAGGAAAGCTCAGCAAGTATGAGGCCCAAAAAAAAAATTAATTCTAGTAGCATAACAGTGTAATAATATCTCGTTCAATGAGGATCATCAATACATGACTACATGAGAACAGAGTATACACATAATCTATGATTCTATGAAACTTTAGCAAGCCATCGAACAAGAGGTAACAACAGCAACAAGCATCAACATGTCAATGAGGTTCATAATATAACAGCATTACCTTTAAAAGCTGATAGGTTCCCTTCGTTATCAAAGACCATCCGGTTAGATACGATCTCAATGTTTTTAAAAGATCTCTGAATTCTCTGCCTGAGGACCTGCTCATTTCATGGAACAAAATGTAGTCAACAAAAAAACCACAATTATTTAAAAAGATAGCAAAAACTCACACCTACCTCCTCTATGATATCTGCAAGTCCAGCAGAGAATATTAGGATAGGAACATTTTTTTCCTGCACCAGAAACACAAAAAATTAGTAAAATAAACAGAGGGAGCTTCAACAATTAAAAAACTTTATACAACATGTCATGATATACAAAACAGTGCTAGTGTTAAATAAGGAGCTCCAGGAAACACTTCGTAACACACTACAAGGATGAAGAAGAAAACAATACATGAGTTTCGCTCAAACTGAGATTTCATATGACTATGGCTCATGGATGCGGGCAATGACATGCATTTATGATTCAATTGAGAGCAATTTAGAGCAGCAAGATTGGTAAGAGCCATCTCATATGGACTCAAGGAACTATTTGCATGTTAATGAGACGGCAACAGATAGTGGGCTTAATGGCTTAGAGCTGAAAACGTTTTGCTTTGGCTTGAGAGCTGGTAATAAGTAAATAGAGGATGAGTGAGGAAACAAGATCACTTTCTAGCCCCATTATAATGAACTTGTTCAGCTGTTCATCTTCAACAAACTAATGTGAAGCAGAAAATTTACTTATAATCATGCATGTAACAGAAAAAACAAAGGATTGAAAGATGAAGAATAATCACCTCTAAAATCTGAAACAGTTCAATTACACCCTCTCGAAATGCCATTCTGGCATTAGCAACAGACTTTCTTATATCATCAAATGTGAGACCTCCCTCAACAAGAAGACCATGTGTCTTTCCCCACCTGTTTTTGGGAAAGATAATCATCAGAAATAGAATCAAGGACATGGTTCACTAACCCAACCCTTTGCCAAGTAGAGTGCCTTTAAAGGGAATAGCATGATTAGAAAGCTGGCAGTTCCCTTGGATGCTTCAATAAGACATTGAGGGGGTGGTCATAGAATGATTTTTAATTCCTCTTAACTCTTGTATCATTCACACTGATTTTGATTCAAATGGATTATCTTGTTGCTAATAATTCAAACAAGATTTCACTCTTGGCTTGCTATTAGTGGACAAATTAATAAATGGCTCCCGTTGTCCTATTTTGTGATACAAACTTTTGCACAGGCATGTTTGATTTCTTATGAACACACCCTTTATTATATTATTTTTTTCAAAAGACTTCCACTAAACATGGAACCAATATGTAAATCACCAGATGGGCAGTAGTAAAAAATGACTGCTTTATAATTTTATCCTTTCTATAAGAAGTAACTCCTCTTTCTTATTTAATCAGAATGTTTGGAATTTTACATTCACACTCACTCTTTTGATTGACTTGTGTGATTTATACGTTGGAAAATATATAGTCATGTGGGATCTAGTCAGATTCGTCCCGAAACTTTCATAATATAAACTTTTTATAATTTTGACTAAAATACAGCATAAGATATTTAAGCTACAAAATGTGCATTAACATGTGTGAAATCTCCAACGTTGCGATTAAAAAAGAACCGATGAAGTATAAGTTTGTGGCTTTTTCATACACTCAACCCCCAACCCTTCTTAGAACGAGAGCTTTGTTAAAAGCTTTGGGACGATGTTATTGTTGTGTTTCTTCATACAATATGGGACATCAGCAAATGAAAATTACACCAAATTATATGGGGTGGAAAGTGTATTTACATAAAAAAAAATAAAATAAAAAAAAGCATTATCGACCACTACAAGATAGTGTATAGATGAATTATATAGTCGAAAGGCTGATGTCCTATTGATAAAATAATTGTACTACTTAGTAAAGCTATGGTTTTTTTGGGGCCAATATTACATCATTTACATGACTGACAAAGCAGTAGATATCAAGGGGGTCAACATTATATAATATAGAAAATTACCACTCTTCCATAAGCTTTGTTTTCTCCTTGATTGGAATTTCTGGACAAATTTCTATTGGACGGTAATGGTCATATAGCTCCTGTCTCTTTCTATCATACTCTGGATTCCCCTGCTGTAGAAGTCCATGACTGGCTATGCATGATATTAGTAAACAGTGATGGAAGCATAATGTATTATAGAGTGCAAGGACAAAGAGTATTAATATAATAAAGGATTGGAGGCCGACTTACTTTGCCCCCTTTGGCCATTGATGTTATATTTTGTTAATGTGGCATCAAAATCAGCAATCACCTAATAAGTAAAATGTATCAAGCTTCTATAAGGAATTAATGCTCTCTCACATAACTACATAAGGCATTTGTTTCATCCTTCCCCTTAAAATCCTAATCAGCAATCTGAATCTATACATGTTTCGATAAATCTAGGTAAATTAAACAAGTAGAAATATACATGTACATAATTGGATGCAACTAAACAAAACTAACAAAACAGGAATTAGCATAACATATGTTTTCGGAAGCTTCATGACATGCCAACAAATGGGAATGGAATCTCCTTAGCACCATTAGACAAAAATCTGGTAGTGATGACAGGGGGATGTAATGTATTACAAGTTTAAAGCACCAGATCTCTACTTATGTTGACATGATTCTTTTGGTGATGCTCTCCGAGTACCACTGTATACCTTAGCATTAGATGGTCTTCACCACTAAAAAGTGCACAAAATGTGTAACGAGAGCTTATCCTCTAGCAAGTAATGTTTACATTTTACACCAAGCAAAGCTGCAAGGGGAGACAAACAAATCTCTTATAGCAAGCTGCTGCACGATCAGTAGTTGTCATGAATAAAATATACCTACTGTCCTAACCAAAATCTGATCATCAGTTCTCAATACTAGAATGTACCTTTTCAGTTCTTTAAAACTATGCTTTCCTCACCCTATTTTCACACAAAATGTGACAAGGGTAATAAATTCATATAAGTCCAGATAATATAAGATACAGGTTAATAATAATAAAATAAAATAAATTAAAAAAAATAAAAAAGATATTTAAGGTCCAATTATTTAATACTTCCTCGTATAACACAAGGATTAAGAAATTCAGATAAAATAAATTGGAACATCTTAGAAATTGCCATTACTGAATGTTCTCACCATGAACCCATATGAACAAAAAACAAAAATTGAGAAAAACGAAGCTTAAACCTGAAGCTTGGAAGGTCCAGCAGCACGAATTGCAGCAATCTTCTTCTGAAGTGAAAGAGTGTCACCCACCACCATATTCTCAGTTTCAATACCCTCCATTGAAAACTTCCTTTCACTGCAAACTACAATCCTGCAAATTATACAAAAAAAAATTAAGGAAGAAGCATGATTAATTGAAGAAATATGTTTGTTAAAAGTGATAATAATGTGACCCTTATAATTCACAAGAAATGGAGAAAAATTTGTAAAATGGGATTATGAAAGAGATGAAGAAAACCCGTGAAAATGCAGAATTGAAGAATTAAAATGGAAGAGAAATTAAAGAGGAAATTACCTGGTTGGAGTGAGTTGATAATTTTGGAAATTGAAATTGAGAGAAGTGTAGCGAACAGAGGAAGTTGTAAAGAGATGGAAGCGATGATAGGCGTAGTTCATGTCATGCACCACTTCTTGGATACCAAATGGCTAGGGGTGGGACATCGGTTTGGCAGTTCGGTTTGACTTCGGTTTGAAATGGTTTCGGTTTGAAACGGTTCGGGTTGAAACAGTTTTATTTAAACGGCGGGTCGGTTCAGTTCGGTTCTGATTAGTCACAGGTCGTTTCGGTTTCGGTTTATTTTTGTACGGTTTAAATTCGGTTCAGGTCATAAACGATTCGGTTTATAAACAGTTCGGGTCATAATCAGATCGGTTAGACACGGGTCAGTTCAGGGGCGGGTTTACTCGGGTTAATGCTGGTTCAGTTTTTAAACGATTCGGTTCATAATCGGATCGGTTTGAAACAGGTCGGTTCAGGGGCAGTTTTACCGGGTCAACGTCGGTTCAGGTTCATATCGGTTCGGGTCATGAACGAATTATTTTGAAACGGGTCGGTTCAGGGGCGGGTTTACCCTAGTTAATGCTAGTTCGATTCATATCGGTTCGGTTTATACTCGGTTTGGTGCTAAAATCATTCGGGTTAGTTTGGTAATCGGTTAAATTGGATCGGGTTGAAAAGGTTCATTTCTTTAGCAAACTAGATAAATTCGGTTTGATTCGGGTTGAAATTGAGTTCTAAAAAGTGGTTTTGACCAGTTAGCGTGTTTTGTTTTATATCAAGTTGGGACTAGTATTTCCATTTCATTAGCAGGTCAGTATAGGTTGGTGAAAAAAAAAATGGATCGAGTAGAAATTGGGTTTAAAGAGTTTTTGACCGATTAGCTGGTTTCGTTTTATATCAAGTTGGTATTTCGTCACTTTATTTTCAGACATCGGATTATATACAATTACACAAATCTTCATTTATTCAATTATTTTATATCATGTTAATATGTTATGTTTCAAGTTTGGTTATACTCTTGTTGTTTATTAGATATTATCATATTAGTCTATTATAAATTTATAATGTATTATTGTTTCATTATCAAATATTATCAGGTTATCAGCTTCTTGTTGGATTGTTTTAGATATCGTGTCATGACCATATTTTTATGAGTTGCTACTTTGAATACGATAAATCAATTCAGATATCAGATTATATAGAATTACAGAAATTCTCATATTCTATATCATGTTAATGTGTTATGTTTCAAGTTTGGTTATAGTCTTGTTGTTGTTTATTAAATATTAGTCTATTACAAATTTATAAGGTATTAATGTATTATTGTTTCATTATTGATTATTATCAGGTTATCAACTTCTTGTTTTAAAGATCGCGTCATGACCATGATTTGATGAGTTGGTACTTTGAATACGATAAATCGATAATTGATATTGTAATAAACTAATAATTTAATGTTACAGAACTATATTTGGATATTTAATTAAATTCACAATTATTCAATTTCCCATTAGTCTAATAAAGTAATAATTGACAATTGTTTGTAACTATTCCATAATTTTGGTGTTAAAGTTATATTGTTGAATTACTTTGTTCTCTTACCCTCTCTGATCACCTTTTAAGATTACGTGCCTACAAGGCTGCAACATATATATGTTGCAACTTGCAAGTTAAAGAAAACGGATGGAGAAGTAGAAGTATTCAATTAGATCGATCATCAACTGTTTTAAGTTTTAATAATCAGATACATTTATTGATTATCTATTCATACCAATGATAGTATGATACCAATCGTACCATACATTATTATTTATTACATATAATAACTAATATACATTAAATATGTCGTATTGAATCAATTTGAATTTCCAAACATTTTTGTTTCTTACAATTGATAAGTTACATAAAGTTAATCATTTTTTAAGAGTACAGTAGTGTTTTTATTAGTACGTAGCTATGAATAAAAAAAAACATACTATCCTAATCCATCATTCCACGATCCGTGTCACCGTCTTAAATTAAATATCAGTCATTGATTTTCATGTCATCTAACGGCCTATCATCGCACACATTCCAATTCATGATCCGTGTGTTTTCTTTTCCACTAATCAAATCACTCTTACCATTGTCTCTTTAGTACTCTTTGATTTCTCTCTCGTTTTCTCTCTCCTCTTCTGTAATATTATCAATTTTTTGAGCCATGGCTGCTAATATGCTCACTGCTCTCCCGTTTTCTCTCTCATCTCCTCTTCCATCTTCCTTTCTTCTTTTCCCTTCTTCCATCTATGTTCTCCTTCTTCCATCTCGTTTTCCGTCACCGTCCACCGGCACCACGCACGACGGTTCTTATGGTCAAATTCGACCACGAAACTCTAGATCTAGTTGTTTCATGATCGAATTTGGCCTTTTAAAACCAAATTCAGGGCCAAATTCGGGATTAATATAATAATATATAAGGTATTTTCGTTCTTCCTTTTTTTCTGTTTTTTTTCAGGTTGTGGGCGACGGAGGGGGCCAAGTTTGGGTGGGTTCGGCGGCGGTTAAAGTGGGTTCGGGTGGGAGGGGAGGGAGGATTTTTCAAGGGAGGGAGGGAGTTTTATGGTGGGTGAGTAGTTAGAGTGAGTTGGGGGGGGTTTCGAGGATGTTGGGTTTCGTGGGGATGGGTGGGGTGGGGTTACAGTGGGTTTGGGTTTTTTTTTCGATTTTTTTCGTATGGGGTAGGGTGGGGTGTGTTACGGTGACGGTGGTGGGTGTGGTTGGGATTGGGCCTGGTTTTTTTTTTTTTTTTTTTTTTTGTACAGTGACAGTGGTGGGTGGGGCGGGTGGGGTGCGTTACGGTGATGGTGGTAGGTGGGGTGGGGTATGGGTCTGGGTTTTATTATTTACGGTGACGGTGGTGGATGGGGTGGGTGGGGGTTTGGGTCTGGGTTTTTTTGTATTTACGGTGGGTGGTGGGGTGGGGTGGGGTGGGTTATGATAATTATGGTGGGTGGGGGTGGTGTTAGGGTGTGTCTGGGTTGATGGTGGTGGGGTGGGGGTGGGTTACGGTAACGGTGGTGGGGTGGAGGTGGGTTACGGTAACGGTGGTGGGTGGGGGTAGTGTTAGGGTGGGTCTGGGGTGACGGTGGTGGGATGTGGTGGTTATAGGGTGAGTCTGGGGTGACGGCGGGGGTGGTGTTAGGGTGGGTTACGGTGGTGGGTAGGTGGAGGGTGTTGGATTGGGTGGGTGGCCAGATTTTTTATAATTTTTTTATTCAATTTATAACTCCTAATTTAGTTATGCAAGAATATAATTTTAATTTTATAATAGCAAAAAAAATTATAAATTTAAATTAATAATTATACGTACAAAATATTGTACTGTTAAACTACATTAAACATCAAATGTATTCGTGGAATTCTAACAAATTGTTAAAGGCTGTAAATAGTCCAATTTGAATGGAACGGGTTGTAAACGGTTTGTTTTAAACAGTTTGTAATCGGATCGGTTTAAACGGGTTGCGGTTTGAAAATAGTTTGGTTTAAACGGCTTAACAGGTTACAACGGTTTGGTGTAAACGGTTAGCGGGTTGTAAATGGTTCGATTTAAACGGTTTTTTCCTACTATTCAAACGATTTCGGTTTATAATCGGTTCGGTTTAAACAGTTAGCGGGTTAACATTAATCGGTTCAAACGGTTTCGGTTTATAAACGGTTTGGTTTGTTATCGGTTTACGGTTCGTAACGGGTTAACATTAATCGGTTTGGTTCGGTTTCGGTTTGACATTATACGGTTCAGTTCGGTTTTCGGTTTAAAACTAGCGGTTTATAAACAGTTCGATCCGTGATGGTTCGGTTCGATAACGGACGGTTTCACGATTCGGTTTGAAAAGTCCCACCCCTACAAATGGCAAATGCAAACATGGAAAAGAGAGAGGCGCTTTCCATTACCATATCCTTCTCCAATTTTTAAACTTAAGTCATGATAGGTTATTATGTCCATGCGAGTTGGATCAAGTCGGGTATGACTTTGACACCTATTCATATTTCCTTATTACCCAAAGTTTAAGGTTCGAATCTTATCAAATGAAGGTATTATTAATACAAGCTCTTTTGCTATTAGCAGATCCAATGGGTCGCCAGTGATTAGAGTGGGTTGGCTTGCTCCTCGATCGCCGGCGAACCTCCCCTGTAAAGCCTCAACCGGTGGTCATAATTTCAAGTCGCGGTGTTTAGTTTCTAGCTCTAGCTAACGGTGCTTGAGCTGGGTATCGCCTCTATCGGGGACGTGGTCGATTGTGGTGCTTCTCATACCACCGATCCTATTGTTCTCAGTTAGTGGGTCCTCCGATAGGTCGAGCTTTATGGCCGCTAAGAAACAAGCTGCCTTTTTGGTTGTGTTCATCGCTTGTTCTGTGGATGTGGTCACTAGTGGTAGTCTCCGATCACTAATCTGGTGTATTTGTTCTGAGTGGTCTTTTCCCAATTAGTTGTTAGTTACTCTGCTTTCCTAGTTTTTTTTTTACTCTTAATCAAAGATCTTGTTTTTTGATTTGTTCAGCCCCCCTGTTTTCGCTTTTGTGGTTAGATGGATTGTCGTAAATTGCTTAATGCTCTTATGCTCACCCACTTGAATGACGATTACGATGAAAGTGTCGTCAATTTTGCTACAAATAATTGCCCTCGAAACATTTATAATCAAGCCAAGGTCTTGAAAGAGGAGGGTAATATCTATTTTAGAGAAGGTGAGTATATTTGTGATGGAGCTGAGTATGATAGAGGACTAAAATGTCTATGTTTTGGTTTCCCAAGAAATGAGGATGACAATTTTATGCTATGGAATCTTGCTATTACACTGGAGTTAAACCTTGCAGCTAGTGCTCTTAAGGTCCGATACTATAAACAAACTAAGGAGCTTTGCTCCCTAATCATCATGCTCGATAGTAGTATTTACAGAAGGGCTTTAGCTGATATCAAGCTTCGCCAATTGAAAGAGGCTTATGAGGACCTTGACAAGGCAGCCATGGTTAAGCTTAATAACCAGGAAATTCTTCGTGCGCTAGAGAAAGTGAAGGGCCTTTGTAGCAAGGCTTGCAAGCCCAATGGCAAGAGGGGTACAGAGAATTATGACATGACTCACTCAATCTACAATAAGAAGAGGAAACTCAGTGAGGTATCAGCTAGCTAGTGTGTAACCAATTGTCTTGTTCTGACGATCAAAGTGGTGTTACGAGCTTGCCTGCCACGGATTTTGCTAGTGATATGGTAGCAAAGAGTTCTATCCTTACCCACAATACTCATGCTTCTTTGGAAATTGTGAAAGAAGGACCGAAAACTTTTTCAAATAACAGCAATCAAGACATGCTAAGGATAAGGGACCGGGGAAAACCCATGTTTTCTTTAATGGAATGAATAGGTTTCGGTCCCTAAAGATTTCTGATTTGTCTTTCTCAAAACTCATGCAAGGGTAGACTTTGAGTTTCTTTAACGGCTCTGCTGACTCATGGATGACCGTAAGATTGAAGGACAAGGCTACATAGGATAGGCATTCATATATTTACAAGACGAGGGGCCCCAAAGTTCTAGATTTCTTGTCCATGCCTACCAGGATGGTGAGCCCAGATAAGAGGAGACGCAACAAACCCAAAAGGAAAAGGTCATGATCTCTCCTGATTTCGATGTAGTCAACCATGTTGAGTTTTGTAAGCCCAACACTATGACCGTTAAGAAGGAAGATGAATCTATTTCTCCATGTTTGACTAATAACAGTGATGAAGGCTAAAACGTTACAAAGGGGAGCGAAGTTATTGCAGGAGACAAATTTACCACTTACATTGATGAAGTGGATTCCGTAGGTTCCATTGAAGATGACCCCATGACTCTTGAACGGGCCGACCAAACACTATCTTTCCCTTCACCATCCTCTTCATGTTCTCAGTCACGACAAGAAAGCAAGGAAGGTCGCACAGGCCAAGGTTGAAGAAGAAGAAAGGTAAAACATATCCAAGTTTCCATTTTTGC